TGCAGCCTGTCGAGGGTCGCGGAACCGTCGCGCTGCAAGGGGAGGCCGGGAAGCGGGTCCTCATCCCCGACGTACTCTACGTCCCGGGCGTACAGGCGAACCTGCTGTCTGCTGGCCAGCTGAAGGAGAGTGGAGTGCTGCTGCAGGGCGATGGCGACAAGATGCTGCTCATCGCCGCGACCGGGGAGATGCTCGGTCGAGCACGCTACACCGGACGAGTCCTCTGCACCGACCTTCGCCTCTGCTCGACGCAGTCGCAGTCGACCGAGGTGGTGGCTCTGCGGATGATCGTCTCGGCGACGAAGACGACCCATGATAGGATGCATGCGCGGCTCGCACACGTCAGCGTCGACACGATCAAGAGCTCGGCGAAGCATGATATTGCTACTGGGCTCGACATCACGTCGTCGACCGGAGCAGACCCGCCGTGTGTCTCGTGCGTCGGAGGAAAGCTGGCGCGGCACACCTTCCCCGCCAAGGGCTCGGACGTAGCAGAGGCGCTGGCTGTCGTGCACATCGACTTGTGCGGGCCATTTCGGGTGGCTGCCAAGGATGGCAGCTTGTACTTCCTGCTGCTGAAGGATCGCCATACTCGATTTGTATGGGCAATGCCGGTCGCTAAGAAGAGCGACGTGCTGCGGGAGTTTCAGCGGTGGCTGGTGCTGGTGGAACGGCAGACGAAGAAGTCGGTGCTGTCGCTTCGCTCCGATCGAGGAGGGGAATTCCTCGGAAATGCGTTCACCGACCTCGTCAACGGGAAGGGCATCGTCCACGACCTGACGTGCCCCTACACACCGCAGCAGAATGGCATGGCTGAGCGGGAGATGCGCACGGTCGTCGATTCCGTGCGGACGATGCTGCTGCACATGGGCGTGCAGCACCACTGGTGGCACCTTGCTCTATGACAAGCGGTCTGGGTGCGCAACTGCTTGGAGCGGTCGACGACGCCGCCGGGAACGACTCCGTACCAGCTGCTGACCGGGCAGAAGCCCGACCTTACGCTAGTGCGGATGTGGGGCTGCATGGTGCAGTTCATGGTTCCCGAGCAGCAGCGCGGTGGGAAGCTGGCGCCGAGGGCTCATTGGGGGCTTCACCTGGGTTTGTCGCCGGAGAGTAAGGGCTGGGAGGTGCTCGACCTGACCGACAACAAGGTGGTCACGTCGGTCGAGGTGATCTTCTACGAGACGCTGTCGCTGGAGGTGTGGAAGGCGAAGTATGGGCCAGCGTCGGGGCGGACGCAGGCACACCCGCCCACGGACACCTCGACAGCGACGGTTCCTCTGCTCGCCGAAGTCGACGAGCCTGTTGATGACGATGTTGTGGAGGTTCTTCCACCTCCCCCCGTTCTTGCTCCTCCCTCTCCCGTCGCAGATCTGCCTGCGTCGACACCTGTGTCGGCCACCGGCGATGAGGGGAGCTTTGAGGCGTCGCCTGTGGCGCCGGCCAGTGGCATCGCCGGCGGTCGACAAGGCGCCAAGCTCGTCGACCAGGATGGGAAGGCGTCGACGACAGGGGAGCACCAGATAGGGGAGCCGGTCGAACAGGAGGCAACAGCAGCGGTGCAGCCGACAGGGGAGCAGCAGCCGGGGCGGTCGACAGGGGAGCTGTCGAAGTCAGCAGCAGGCGAGCAGCTGGTCGAAGGGCCGAAGCAGCTGGTCGACGACGAGGACGTCGACGAGGAAGGGGAGCAGTCGGCGGGTGAGGAGTCCACCGAAAGCGACGTGGTGGAAGTGCCGATCACAAAGCCTAAGCTGCGACGCACAAATCGAGCTCGACGGCCACCGGAGCGGCTGAGCTTCCACGCCTGCCTACCGCCAGCTGCCTTCACCACGGTGTTCGACGAGGTCGACGACGACCTGTTGTACGACGACGCCGAGGAGGATGAAGACCTGCCGGAGCTCGACCCCGACATGCATGCCGACCCCGAACACCGCTAGGACATCGCCACGATGACGGTGAAGGAGGCGCTGTCGAGCTGGAAGGGCGAGGCGGTGAAGGCCGCCATGGAAGAAGAGATTCGCAGCCTCCTCGGCATGGGCACTTGGGAGCTGGTCGAACGCCCACGTGGGGTGAACATCATGAAGAATCGGTGGGTGCTGACGACCAAGTACCGCATCAACGACACCGTCGAGCGCGAGAAGGCGAGGCTAGTCGTGAAGGGCTTCACGCAGGTGTACGGTGCCGACTATGACGAGACGTACTCGCCGGTGAGCAGCTACGTCACGCTGAGGATCTTCCTCAGCATCATCGCCGTCCTCGACCTCCACCTGATGCAGCTCGACATGAAGAACGCTTTTCTGCAGAGCAAGCTCGACAGGGTGCTTTACATGTACCAGCCGGACTACTTCGACGATGGGACCGGCCGGGTGTGTAAGCTGATGAAGAGCCTCTACGGGCTGAAGCAGTCGCCACTTCTGTGGTATAGGGCTCTCGACGGAGTGCTGCTGGGCGCTGGCTGGAAGAAGAGCCAGGTCGACGAGGCGCTCTACTTCAAGGCCGGCGATGACGGAGTGACCTGCTGGGTGCTGGTCTACGTCGACGACCTGCTCGCCGCCAGCAGCAGCACCGCGATGCTGAAGGAGCTGAAGGAGCTGCTGGAGGCCGCCTTCGAGCTGCGTGAGATCTCGCCGGTGGTGAAGTACATTGGCTGGAGATCGTGCGCGACAGGCAGGCCAGGAAGCTGTGGCTGCACCAGCAGGGCTACGCCGACAAGCTGCGCAGGCGATTCATCGACAAGGAGCAGGGCGGTCGAGTCCCGAAGACGCCGGTCTCGGTCGACGCCTACGCTCGAGCAGTAGTATATTAGTGCCAGTAGCAGGAGTGGTACTCGTTTTTTTTTTTTATAGGATCGTAACTTTCAATCAGAGTGGAAATAAGTTGCAAGGTTTCCGACCGTCTGGTCACGTGACCAAGGAGTAGCTATTGTTACTTCACATAGGAATGTGGTGCTGTTAGTAGCACTATATTCTTTCAACCGTTGAAAGATGCCCGATGCGGCGGCTCGAGCCGGAAGAAGGAGCAGAGCAGGCTGAAGGTCAGACAAGCACACTTGTGGACCAGCGCTCGAAGCGGGATGGTCATTCCTGACAAGAAGACCAACTTAGTAAAAGAAAACCCTTTGATAGTTACCCCTTTCGGCCGACTGCCAACCAGCAGTGGCGCATACGCATGCTAGATAACTCCGATTTGGTGAGAATTGCGGCCATGCAGAGTTGGATGAGTGGCGCGGTTTAGCAGAACTGTTTAAAACAAACAATGTGTTGTGTTCTGTACCACCAGTGGACAAGGGTTCAAATCAAATGGGAAGCTCCGAATTTGGTAGTCATGCCGTCGTGACTTGCGCAAGGAAGCATGTTCAGGCGTCCTCTGGAAAGAGACGACCCCCTTTTTGCCCTTCACCGTTATGTCACCACCACCAAAGTCTCAATTGAATAGCAACCCAGAACAGATAATAACAGTGAATTTTGGCTCGCAGGATTGCTTCATTTTCCACATTGCTGATAAACACGAATCGTGTCCCGTCCGGAAACTGCTGCACTGAAATTCTGTCCGTTCGTTGTCACGCGTGACAAATGCAGGGTGCAACGAGGAACAGCGAGACACAGTCAGAGACAGATAGAGTGAGTGGATTCTCCTTGTCCTTTATGCAGGACATGTAAACAGGTCTCCCCAATTTTGACATGGGCCATTCTTGGGCTGTTGGGTGTCTTTAGAATTCATGCTGTAAAAAAACATTCACTTAAATGTCGGCCGGTAACTTCATGGCAACGAAAACTCCACTGGATGTCCTGAGAGATTTTACTGAAGGAGCACAAAGAGTGTTGGGGGACATGCCCGCCAACAGAAAGTGCGAAGGGCGTGTTCCTTCTCGTTTTCGTACCAGAACTCAGAACCTTCAGGGTACAAAGCCATGAGACAGAAATCTAGTTAAGAGACAAAGTTTGCGGTGATTTGCTGTGACAGTGGGTATGGCACTGGTATTTCACAAAAACAAAAGGAAACAGCAAAAAGCGGGCTGTCAGTTCAGCATCTCCGAGATGCCAACCAAACAAATGGCCCTACTCACCCTAGGCTGGATGACGGACCCCATCCATGCTCCCCTGTCCTTTGCGGACTAAGTGGTCACTGACTCAACGGAATGATCGCCTGAACAAAAACATCCTCTCTAACCGACTGACTCGCCGGCCGTCAGCTCGCCAGCCGTCATCTCGCCGACCACTGGCTTATCCGACCGGCCGGGCAGAGGGAAATCGTTAGGGGTTGGCCGTTTCGGACGTCAAATATCAACGGCTCAATGATGTCTCTCGTAGTCGCAGAAATGGTATGTCTTGAATTGTATGGATAACAATTGTGTATAGTATATATCTTCGTGAATCACAAGCCAATATCAGCATCCAACTAATAATGATTATGTTATGTTTATCAACTCTCAAAAAAAAAAAAAAAAAAGGCTTCCCCTCCTCCAAACTGATAACACATTTCTGAAATGGTTACTTGGCAGCAAGGGCTGTCCTTTGACTCCTCGTCATTTCCCTACCACAACACACCCTCACCTCAGCCCCCCACCACCCTCTTCCCCCTCTCTTCCCCTACCCCCTCCTCCTCCTCTCTCTCTCTTTCTCTCCCCGTTTCCCATGCTGATAAATTATTGTCAAATAGTACGTAAAATTGGCATACCCTATCAAACTTCATTTGCACACACTATAAACATATCACTCAAGAAAATCCGGGCTAGAACTTAAAACGCCAAGCCATCTGACCCTATGTGCTGCGTTCGTTGCAGCAATTGGCGGCATTGCAGCACGAGCAGATAGAAATGAGCAGAATACTACGCACCGGCCGTAGTGGTGCAAATGCAGAGACGTACAAATGCAGAAAGACAGTAAAGAGTCATTGACAACCACAACTAACGCACGTCAAGCTCAAGCTTACTCAAAGTATCTAATACAGCACATACTAAAAACTAGAAATAACATATCTACTTTAACTGCACATACCTCCTAAGCCGCACCTTCGAGCCACGATTGCAGCTCCTTCCGCTCGCCAACGGCTGCAAAGTCTGAAACCCGAATGGTGCTGTCGCCCCCTAGAAACGCAACCACTGCTGCTGGAATCCACGGCTTCAACATAGCTTGCTGCTGGTGCAATGGGCCAAACATAGCGCGGTTGGAAGTGGTTGGGAACATTGCAAGGTGGTCTGAAGGAGCTGCACACACTGAATTAATACGGGCCGGTGGGTTTAGAGGAGCCTCATGATACGTGCTGCTTGTTTCCCGTTCTGTGCTGCTTGTTTTACATTCTGTTTGGCATGACTTGTCCCTAGTGTCACAAACGGCCGGATGTTTGCTGCTCCTGGTATACAACTCCTCTGGTGAAACCACAGTCACAGGGTCCACGCGAGCACAAGCTTGGGCACATGCTTGGGCACAGGCAGGCTTGGGCACAGGCTTGGGCACAGGCTTGGTCAGTGACACGGAGAGAGGGAGGCGGTGCATCCGTGGCTGAGGCGGGTCGCTTCCGCACATTCCTAAGCGTACCACAGGTGGTGGCTGTAAGAGGATGTGAGGCACACGCAGGGAGAGTGGCAGTGAGAGTGGCATGGTGAGTGGCAGGGAGAGGGGCAGGGCAATTGGCAATTAGAATCCCGGGCACGGCTGGGGCAGGTTGCTGTACAGCAGTGTTGTTGCTCTGCAAGAAGGAATCAATCAGAGACAGCAGCAACGCTGTCACTTGATCCGTCTGCTTTGACGGCCGCTGCTGCTGCTGCTGTGGTTGTTGCTGTTGCTGCTTCTCCTGCTGTTGCTGTTGCTGCAGCGCTCTCAGATCCTGCTGGGTCTGTAACCCAGGAGCATCAGATACAGCACAGGCGTCAGTCAACGATGCATTTTGAGTCAACGGCTCCTTCTGGGTCTGAAACTGATGAGCATCGGTTACAGCACCGCAGCCAGACAAAGCAGCAGCACCCTGCACAGCAGCACCCTGCACAGCAGCACCCTGCACAGCAGCACCCGGCACAGCAGCACCCGGCACAGCAGCACCCTGCACAGCAGCACCCGACACATGCCCCATCGGTGCTGCCAATCTCGTCCCTGGAGAACCGTGTAGCGACCCTTCCTCCCCATCACCATGCAAATCAAATTTCAAACTCTCACCATTGCCCACCACCACACCACCAGCGATCTGCTCCTCCTCGACCAATCCCGCGTCAGAGAAGTTTGGTAGAAGCCCCACGTGGTTGGCACTGAAAGGCAGTGACAGCTCTTGGAGCTCTTGAAGATCTTGGAGACCTTGATTCGTAGGCGATATTGCTCCCAGAGAAGAGAAAATCTCATCCGTCGAATCCTCCTCCGCATCATAAAATCGACGGCTGCCATCTTCTCCTAGCATTTGAGATCTGAGATCCAGAAGCCGCAGTTCCTCATAGATTGTAGACCTCCGCGTGTGAACAGCAACAGCATAGTTGAGGTCAGTGGAGCAGCCACTAACGGGGATAAGCCCAGCCAGCCCCGGAGGAGAGTGCTGGAGGCGGGTCGACAGGGGAGACACTGGGGAGACGTCCCACACAAGCAGGGGATTGCTCCCTGATGGCTGCTCCTTCTGCCAGGGAGAGTGCAAGAGGGCTGCCATGGTCCAGTCTGCATCTGCATCAGCATCAGCATCTGCATCTGCATCTGCATCATCCGCAGCATCACCAATGCCACCACCATCATGAGCAGAAGCAACAGCACAAGCAGCATCAGCACAAGCAGCATCAGCAGTTGCAGCAACAGCATCTGCACCTGCACCAGCATCGGTACCACCATCGACAACAGCAGCAGCAGCACCACCACCACCACCACCAGCATTGAAAGAACTGCCTGTAGCAGCACTCAGGCCCTCATGATGCAACGCCGGTACCAGGGCATTCACAGGCCCACCAAAATCAGCACCCAGGGCATTCAGAGGCCCACCAAAATCAGCACCCGGGGCGTTCAGAGCTGCATCAGAGCAAGCAGCCTGGGAATCCAGAGCTGCATGGGAATGAGTGTCCGGGTAAGTGAGAGCTGCATGGGAACCACCGTCCGGGGAATCGAGAGCCGCAGCAAGATGGTCAAGGCGAGCAGCGCTAGATGCTGCAGTGCAGCCAGCTCCACCGTGTGACACCGCGAGGTTGCTATGGTGGCTCATGGGCCGGTCGAGAGGCCGGTAAGTACGGCGGTAATTGGGCCGCTTGGTAGGGCCGTAAATGGGGACTGTGGGGTGGTTGGGTGGACGGCTAATGGGAGGCGCGGGGTGGTTGTGGAGGCGGCATCGGTAGGCAACTTGGATGGCGTCGGGGGAGAGCGGGTCGGAGCCGTTGCGGCAGTTGATGTCAACAGTCTTCTTGGCCGGACAGCGCAGGCTGGTCTTGGCGCGACTGCACTTGTAGTAGCACCTGGTGAGGAGGGCGCGAGGGGGAGAAGGGGAGAGAGGGAGGGGGGGGAGGGGGAGGCGCTACTGAAGACAGTAGTACAGCACGTGTGAGATGGTGGTCTTGGCGCGAGTGCACTTGTAGTAGCACCTGGTGATGGATGAAGAGAGGGGGAAAGGAAGGGGAAGGGGGGAATGAGGGGGAAGATGATGGATTCAGCAGCACAGCTGAGGGTGAAACGGTGAATTCTGCTCAGCAAGGGACAGAGGTGGATGGAGCACAGCACGATATCATCATTCGCTTTGAAACTATGATAAGCAGAAACCTCTGAATCAACAAGAGACAACTGGAGTCAACAGAAGAAGACGAGCAGGAGTCAACGCGAGTCAACACGAGTCAACGCGAGTCAACAGGAGTCAACGCGAGTCAACAGGGCAGACCTGGTGGCGTTGGAGCGCTGCACTTGCTTCTGGCCGTACTTGAGCCAGTTGTGCCCATCGGAGCCCACCACCCGCGCCACCACCACCTCCAATTTCAACCCTCGCGGCCCCAAGTCCTGCTCCCACACCTCTCGACTGACCGACTCATCCTCAGAAAGCTGACGGCTAACCGACGCGTCCTCAGACAGCTGACGGCTAGCCATCTCATGCTCAGAAAGCTGACGGCTAGCGGCCTCCTGCTGACTACTCGCCAAGTGCGGAACCGATTGGTGCAAGCTCGTGTCTCTCTCCAAGATGGAGGCGATTGCCATAGTAGCAGGCAAGCTCTGGCTGTGGTCTTCCTGGAAACTGCCGGTTAGGTAGTATTGGCGGGAAAAGTTGAAGGTGAAGGATCTCTAAGGCTCGCGGCGCTGCCGCGGCCGCGGCTGTGGGTAGTATTAGGCCGAGCAATAGTGCTGCCTAGAAGCAGCGCTATGTAGTAGTAGTTTTATTAGGGTTTAGGACAAACGAGGCAAGGTTGAGTGGAGTGACAAACGAGACTGTCCTCCAGAAGTCGAGTAGCATTGCTGATTGTAGTGCTACTGCTGATCCTCTAGTGTGGGGTGGTGATTCTTGCTAGGCTCGTGCACATCTCTTCGAGTCAGATCAGAAGAAGCACCGACCGACCTTTTGGAAAGGCCAGACAACTGCCGCCTTCTGAGGCCTGTGGACAGTCCTTCTTGATAAGGCCGTGACACATCTTGCACGGGCTGCCTGGCCTGGACCATGGAGAGAATCCCCCTCTCTGTCATCTGCCATCACGCATGCGAGATTATCTCCGATTAGCTCGGAGGCTTAGAATCCAGACAAATTAGTGCAGTAGCCAGCCAGTGACAAGTGACGAGACACGCCAGGCGTGGCCAGCAGGACTTGCCGTTGCAAGTCGGATCGCCAGCTTGGTTCATAGGTGTGGTGTCGATTGCGGTGACTCGTGTCACGACTTGCGCGGAACGACATCCTTCACGTGAAATGCTGACGGGGCTGATCCGCGACGCGGACTTCCCTCGCATGGAAAAGGAGGTACAGGAGAGGAAAGAGAGGCGGTTTGGGACGGGGTAGAGGATCAGCATAAAATTCCCTGTCATTGACGACAACGGGAGAACTACAGGTACATGTCCCACACATTGTATCTTTTTTTTTTTCACACAGTTGTTAGTACACAACCATCGCCCGCAGCGCGCCGCTGCTCAACCGTTTGCGCCGTCTCTTGTGACCGTCTACCTGTTGCAAATTCTGCTCCATGCGTCGCGGTTTCAAGCTGTACTTCTACTGTACATAATGCGGTCCACAGACACTTGCGGTGCTTGAGTACTTCTACTGTACATAATTCTTTTCGTCATTTTACTGTACGGATGACAGCTCACATAATCAAGTCAACGTACACATCATCGGTTAGAGTGATGACGCCAGCACATCATCGCAGTGACTAACAACTGAGAATTCCCTAGGTTCCAAGAGCAACAGAATTATTCTTGCGGCTCAAGCCACGGAACGGAACAAACGGAAGTGGCAGTGGGCCTTGGCGGAGTCAAAATGGGATTTGGATTTCAAGGCAACCACGAACAAGAAGGCAAGGATCACCTCACCAGACCAGATTCAATGTACCTGTGCGTGCAGTCTGCAGCAGAAGGTACCCCTTGTGCTACTGTACAGAAGTTTCGAGGATTCATGGAGCTCATCTTGTCGCTTGATTGGCTAAAAAGCAAGTTTGGCATTAATTTGATTGGGCAGCTGGATTACAAGCTCGCAAATGAACCACGACAATCTCGAGGCGCCACTCGTGCTGTGTTTCCTGCCGTGACAAATCGCAAATCGCACATTGGATAAAGTTCTGAAGAATTGTGGCTTGAACAAATCCCCCTTAGTAAGCGTCTCGTTCTGGCAAATGCATCTTCATCTCCACCCAGCCAGTTTCCAAAGGCGAAAGTTAGGTTCCACACACTGTACAAAATGTTCCAAATCTAAATATTGTCAATGAGATTGTCATGCATATGTTACTGTACTAACACGATGCATAACAACATTGCAGTGCTACAATATAGAGCATTCCCTCTTAACCTGCACCCTCGAGCCACAACTGCAGCTTTCTGCGCATGCCAACGGCTGCAAAGTCCGAAACCCGCGAAGTGTTGGCCCCTCCCAGAAATGCAAACACTGCTTCAGGGATTAACGGCCCCAACATTTCCTTCTGCAGCGGTGGGCTGGAGAACCCTTGCTGGTCCGACGGACGAAACAACCCCTGCTGAGCTGATAAGGCAAACACCTGATCGTGATCGACCAATGGTGCTCCACACAATGAAGCAGGGCGGCCGTTAAGCTTTGTATCAACACAGTGTGAGCTAGATTGTCGCTGCACATCCCACATTGCTCCACACGCCCTCAGTTTACCCCCACACGCCCTCATCTCACCCCCCAACGGATTCAGATCATCCCCACATGCCCTCGGGGCACTCCAACACCCCTCGTGTGTCACCATAAGCTGCTGGCGCTTGCATGATGCAGCAACAGCAGTCAGAGAGGGCAATAGGGACTCAGAGGAGAGTTGACTATTGCACGCCACACCACCACCAGCAGTCTCACTCGCCCGCCCATGACCAAATGTGTTGCCGCTGCTGCTGCGGCTGCGTGCTGCCACATGACTCTTGATAGCTCTAGCAACCAGCCGAATATTCTTCTCCCTGATGCTGCTACTGCAGGTTACTGGTGTTGCCATACTCTGAAACCCCCTTCTCTCCGTCCTGTTGCGGCCGCCCATGCTGCTGCTGCTGCGTGTGGGCGTTTCTGGCCCCTCCACCCCGCTCCATGCTCGCTCCATCCCACCCCCATCCACATCACAGTCCGCAGAGCTCGAATCAGAGGGGGGGAGAAAGGCATCAGTGGCCGCGCTGAGAGTGTGATGTGCCCCGTGCCACGAGGCAGGGGTGCAGGGGACACGCAGGGCAGCAGGCGCAGCCATAGCAGAATTCTGACACGCCTCAGTAGCCGTGGCAAGAGCGTGATGATGTGTGCAGGGACGAGAGGCAGGAGCGTGGAGGGGAGACAGAGCAGGAGGCGCAGCCACGGCAGAGGTTTGACGCACCTCAGTAGCCGTGGCACAAATGCGATGCGCACTGTTTTGAGATGCAGGCGTGCAGGGGACAGGCAGAGCAGCAGGCGCAGCCATGGCGGAGGCAGGCCGCTTGGCACACGCGGTGCGTGGCATGGCGTTTGAGAGAGCGAGCAGGATCGTGTTCAGTTGCTGCTCTTCCTGCAGTACCAATGACACCTGCTCTTGCTGCTGCTCTTGCTGCTGCTCTTGCTGCTGCTCTTGCTGCTGCTCTTGCTGCGCCTGCCTTCTCTGCTGCTCGCCCTGCTGCTGTTGCTGTTGATTCTGCATATGACGTTTTTGCTGCCGTTGCTTTTGCTGCTCTCGATCTTGTATCAGCTGAGAGAGGAGACCAGCAGAACGAATCAGCAATGTGTGACAATCAAACTCAGTGACATCAGGGTCGACACCAAGGTCGACACCAGGGTCGACACCAGGGTCGACACCAGGGTTGACACCATAATCAACATCAGCACCTACACCACTCAATGCTACAACCCCCGGATGATGCTCACTGCGAGCTGTGACTCCCCGGTTACACCCGCTCGGTGTTACATCCATGGATACCGCGCCCACCTCGCACAGAAACTCATCTACCTCATCCCGGGACAGGCAAGCGCTTCCCTCTGCTGCCCCCACAGCATGTAAACCCAAGACACTGAGCGTGTTTCCTGGAGACTCAAGGGGGGAGGTCAGGGGAGAGTCGAGCGGGGAATCAAGGAGGGAGTGGAGGGGAAGATCAAGGGGGACCACGAGGGGGGGCACGAGGGGGGGCACGAGGGGGGCCACGAGGGGGGAGCCGAGGGGGGAATCGTGCGAATGATGGCGAACTCGAGCCAAGCACACTGACTCATAGTCCTCTCTGTGTTTCTCGGCGCCTTGGAGTGTGCTTGGCGATGCGAGCGAGTGACACATGCCCGCAAGGCCCTCCTCCACGTGAGCGTCCATGCCCGGGAATGTGCCAGGCCATGCGATGGGGTCCCACTCGCCCGCCCATTCCGCCTCAGGCTGCTGCTGCTGCTGCTGCTGCTGCTGCACCTGCTTCTGGTGATCCCAATCGCGGCCGGCGTCCCATTCCTTCGTCTCTGGCAAAATTCGACCGGCGAGAGCAGGAGCAATAGAAGGCGCGGTTGAAGCAACAGGAGTAGCAGAAGCAGCTGCAGGAGCAAGAACAGCAGGTGGAGTGGCAGAAGCAGCAGCACCAACAGTAGTGGCGGTGGCAACGGTGGTGGCGGCGGTGGCGGCTGCTGCGGCGGCAGCACTCGCGTGGTTGGGAGGCGCGGGGTGGTTGTGGAGGCGGCAGCGGTAGGCGACTTGGATGGCGTCGGGGGAGAGCAGGTCGGAGCCGTTGCGGCAGTTGACGTCAACAGTCTTCTTGGCCGGACAGCGCAGGCTGGTCTTGGCGCGACTGCACTTGTAGTAGCACCTGGTGTGCGGGGCGCGAGGGGGGGAAGGGGGGGGGGGGGGGGGGGGGGGGTGAGCGAGAAGACAGTAGTACAGCACGTGTGAGATGGTGGTCTTGGCGCGAGGGGAAGATGATGGTGTAGTAGCACCTGGTGATGGCAGAGGGGTGAGGGGTGGAGGATGATGGATGGACAGGGAGCGCAATGGTCAAGAGGACGGAGCGAGATGGTGGAATTGTGGAATGGTGGAATTGTGGAATGGTGGAATCTGCACCAACACAAGTCAACACAAGTCAACGGAGGGACTGAATCAACGGGCAGCTAACCTGGGTCAGCAGGAGTCAACACAAGTCAGCGGAAACCAACGCCAAGTCAACAAACGTCAAAAGTCAACGCGAGTTAGCGGGAGTCAACGAGAGGCAGACCTGGTGGCGTTGGAGCGCTGCACTTGCTTCTGGCCGTACTTGAGCCAGTTGTGCCCATCGGAGCCCACCACCCGCGCCACCATCTCCTCCAACCCCCGCCGCGCCGCCATCTCCTGCTGGGAATTACCCATTTTTTCCGGGGAGTTCACAAATTCTAGCTGGGGAACAGCAGCAGCAACGGCGCCGTCACGCTCCGCTGCAGCCTGAGGCTCCTGGTGGGCAACTGCTGTCGCCTGCGGCTGCTGCTGGTG